GATGTGTTCTTCCTGACTCCTAAAACAAAACGACAAAAGTTTAGGTAAATTTCTTACACACTTGATTTGTACATGTATGTGCTTTCGTGACCCCAGATGTCACTTCCGTAAACTAGTATAGGTCTAATTAGTTTATCGAAAAGGGATAACATTGTAAGTGGATTTAAATTTGCCTTATGTCCAAGTTTTGCTTTTAAACTAAATAAAGCTTTTTGGCCTTTTAGTTTTAATGTTTTAATTGCCCCCTTAAATTTTCCGTTTGAACTTAATACAACCCCTAAATAGTTGTAGTGTCTAACCACATTAATAGACGATTATTTTTATTGAAAACCATTATTTTTGTTTTCTCTGTATTAACAGTCAGCTTCCAGTGTTTTGTGTAAGCGGAGAGATTATCTAAGCTCTTTTATAATCCATGTTTTGTTTCTGAAAGGTGACAATGTCGTCCGCAAAAAGGAGGCACCCAACTTTACTGTTTCCCAGTGTGGGTGGATTATATGTTGCAGCATCAAAAATTCCTGGTAGGTCATTAATAAACAAATTGAAAAGAGTTGGACTTAAGTTACACCCTTGTTTAACCTCAGTAACCCCAGAAAAGGTTGAAACCCAGATAAAATGTATAAACAAGTTATATTTGTTTTCTTAATTTTATTTATTATGCAAATTAGCTAATTAGAACAATTCGGCTTGTAATTGTGATTTTTTTCTATTTATTACTCTATCGATGTTCTGTAAAGTTGGTAGGTATACATAAACATAAATAAGAATGACTTTAAACGCTTCAAAACAGAACAAATGTCTGTCTGTCTGACAAGAGCTAAAGAGCTTCATGTATACGGCGATTTTCGTTATGTTTTTTTTTTTTACCTATATTAAGAAGATCAAATCAAGATCGAAATAAAACTTACTTTGACAGTTCTTCAGATACCACTAGAACAGAATCTGCAAGCTGCCGTGCTCCATATATAGCCAGATTATCACTATGCTGCTTCTTCACATTGTCACTTCTTATAAATCAAAAATAGCGCCATTGCTTTGTTGCGATGCCAAATTTACCCTTTTGCGGCATCACAGTAAGGAGAATGTATGTTTTCAAATTCAATGCACATTTTCTATTGATTACGAGGCACGGATATGTTACTATTATTGAGAACTGAATTACACAATATTCAACATTTTCATGTTTCATAAAAGTTTGAATGTCGTGAAGAAAAGTAATTTTACGGTATTCGACGAGTCTATTATTTCAATATGGGTGTATAGCTTCCCAAGCTCCTCCTCATTGATCTCCCGAGGGAATACGTTTATGTTGCACTTATAAATCGAACACCGATAAGATACGATTATTGAAAAATGCAAGCTTTACGTAAGTATTACTAGTTACCATAAAGGAAATAATTAATAATTTTTGAAATAGTGGAATCAACCTGTCAACTCCTGAACTTTGACCGTGGAAGCAGGTCACCTGATATCGCATGCTGTCGTTGATGTTTATCTCAGATCTGCAATCTGGACATTTGTAGAAATGATCGGAATATTGCTTGAGATCGGCTTACTATTTCTCCGAATCGGACTGGCATATTGCGAGGCTCTGATTAGTGCAATTGTGCCACCGAGACGAAAGAACATTACTGGGGAAGTTGTCCTCATCACAGGGGCGGGGCATGGCATCGGTCGATGCCTCGCTCTGGAATTCGCCAAAGTTGGTGCCAAGCTGGTTCTTTGGGATATCAACCAGGAAGGAAACGAAGAAACTGCCGCGGAAATTCGCACGATTGGTGTTTCTGTAAACACATACACGGTTGATGTAACTCAGAAAGATGAGATTTATAACGCAGCTGCCAAAGTTCAAAGAGAAGTTGGCAACGTGGACATTCTCGTCAATAATGCTGGGATACTCCACGGGATTGAATTGTTAAGATTATCCGATGAACAAATCGAAAGAATTATTGCAGTCAATACCATGGCACACTTTTGGGTGAGTAAATTTACACCTAGAACACTAAATAAAGACTTTGTTTCGACATTGTGAAAATTCTTTCGTTTTTATGAGAAACAAGCAGCCGGTCGGCTGAGATAGCTCCGCTGTTAGCAATGCACATTCCAATTATAGAACATAAGATATCATTAGAAAATGAACAATATGCATAGTATCAATGCAATGGGACTTGCTGTTTTCAATAAGAAGTCAAAAATATCACTTTTCACCAGCAATGATAAAAATAATCATCAAAATTAGATAATTGAAAATATCACCACGAAATTAACAAATCTGAAAGAGGTCCACATGTAGTACCTATATATGTAATATCAAAGCAATTGGACTTGCGCTTTTTAACAAGAAGTCGAAAATATCACTTTTTACTAAAAATGACAAAATATTCACCAAATTTAGAGAATTAAATATATCATTACAAATTGAACAAATCTGAGAGAGGTCCACATGTAGTACCTATGTATGTAATATCAAAGCAATTGGACTTGCGGTTTTTAACAAGAAGTCAAAATATCACTTTTTACCAAAAATGACAAAAATATTCACCAAATTTAGAGAATTAAAGATATCATCACGAAATGAACAAATCTGAGAAAGGTCCACATGTAGTACCTATATATGTAATATTATATTATAGCATTATCAATACCAGTGGATTTTATGACGTCATTGCAGCAGATTATTCGCGATAATGTATTACATTATTGAGCATCTAGGCCCTGTCCCATGGATATGAATACAATGTTGTTTTTGAAAACGATTAAAAAAGAAACTATTGAAAAAGAAGAGAAATTGTTAGATAACAAGTATTTAATATCAAAATCGGCATCAAATAAAACGATCCATAACCAATAACAGCGGATTTCAATATCGAAATCAGACAATATTGTGAGGGCATCGTTGTCTGCTCTGTATGCTAATGCGCGGTCGGTCAAAGCGTTCCATCTAGTACACGCACTTCTAGATTCCGCGACTGATGCTGGTGGCCCCCTGATTAGTTTGCCATATCGTGTTGATGAAGTGAGGTTAAACGAGGATAATTTATCCAAGCAAATGCGATAAACGAAATTGGGGTACAATGTATGTCTACGAATACAGAAAGATGAATTTATTCTGTTTTTGTGGTGAGTAGTACAGTTTCGCGAAACGATATCGACAAAAGACCGATGGCTAACACCCACTAGCTTTCCGATCATGTTTGTAAGTTTTGTTTGGCTAACGATGTAACTATGTGCATGTACCCCGGGTACGCACCCCTACGCACAGTCGATCCAGCTGGACCACGGCGGCGATCTACCGTAGCATAGTGCAAGGTTGCGGTAGACACCGATACAGCATACATCGTACCAGTCACGACGTGCCGTTTGCTCGGGCGATCACTGCAATGCTACTCCACACCACACATCAGTCACTCACTCACTCGCAATGTAAATAAGTTCAATACAATAATATTTGATGGATTAAAACTAGTTTCTTGCTTCATTTGCCATATGAGATTGTGGAAACAATTTCCAGAAAGACATTTTAAATTATTCAGATTCACGGGCCAGTGAATGTGAAACTATTCCGTTCACTGTAGATTTTTCTCCAATTTTTTCCCGCTTTTTAGAGGCAGCAAATCCACTGGTAATGACAATGCTACAAAATAATAACAATAATGAACTCCCTGACAACCCATAATGGACTCAAGCACACCTTGCGCTCCATATATGTACTCGGCTCACGCCTCGTACATATATGTCGCACAAAGTGAGCTTTCGGCCATTATGGGTTGGCGGGTCGTTCATTATTGTTTAATCAAAGCAATTGGACTTGCAATTTTTAACAAGAAGTCGAAAATATCACATTTTACCAAAAATTACAAAAATATTCACCAAAATTAGAGAATTAAAGATATCATCACGAAATGAACAAATCTCAGAGAGGTCCAGATGTAGTACCTATATATGTAATATCAAAGCAATTGGACATGCAGTTTTTAACAAGAAGTTAAAAATATCATTTTTTACCAAAAATGACAAAAATATTCACCAAAATTAGAGAATTGAAGATATCAACATGAAATGAACAAACCTAATAGAGGTCTACCTAAGGTACATATACACCAAGTATCAAAGCATTCAGGCTTGTAGTTTTCTAGAAGAAGTCGAAAAAGTAAAAAATTGACACGGACGACGACGGACAATCACTCATATGATAAGCTCCGCTCAACAAAGTCGACAGCGAAGCTAAAAACTGAAAACAATCGATTGCACAAAAATATTACAGAAATAAAAATATTTTGCTATATTCTCTATATTTTGGCAATTTATTTGCCTAATTTATGACTGAAAGAAGCTGAATGAAATTACAAATTACAATATGATTTTACTTTGTAAAAAGACTGTATTTTTCTGCATGAAAACAAGGGAATTTCACAATGTTGAAAACAGAAAGTCTTTATATCATATTGTTCTTTGCTAAGTTCAAGCGTGCCTGTGATGATTCCTTGTTTGTCCTATAAACATATGAACAATATAAACTGAATATTTCTGGATTTAGGAAACTGTAAGTGTTACAAGAAAATAAGCATGACTGATCTATCATATATTCTCGGTGCAGGGCTTACCCAGTTGTCTAAATGTCCCATATGCGTTTTTGGAAAAAGTCGTTAAGTTCACACAAATTTAAAAGGTATGAATGTTTCTCAAATTAAATAAATTGTAAAGATAACACAAAACCTGTATTATTTTACATCTGCTACTGCAAACTATGAAGTTTCAGAATACAATTTCCAGCATCTCGGATAATATCTTCACTGTATGATGTACTAAGACATATATTCCAGTATTTTGTTGATAACCTTATATTCAATTTGATTAAAATCTGATGAATTGTACAGCATGAATTTAATTTAATTTGTGTACCACATAATTTTCAGGAAGGTGATATATTCTATATGCAGTATTTTATAGTTTTCATCTATTTCAGCTATTTTCAAGCACATAGTATTTTGATTACTCATTGTGCTATCGTTATTCGATCGTTTTGAAAACATCTTTTTGCGAAAATTTGTTTATAAGATAACTGCGACCAAATTAGAGATTAGATTTCTTTAATAATTTATTTGTGTATTTATTTTTTATACATACATATTTATTTATTTGTGAATTTTAAGTACATTCATTCTAGTTATTTTTAAAATATTGTCTTGTTAACAAAAATTCTTTATTGTTGCAAACACCCTATGTAACCTACTCTTTTTTTACACGGGAACAATAAAGTTCATTCATTCATTCATTCATCAATTCATTCATTCCTTCCTTCATATTCAAGATAAATTGATCTAGGAGAGGAGTTACAGAGTGTAGTGTAAATGTTTTAAAAATGTCTGTTTCAAGTCCTATTCATTCAGGGTCTATGTTCTCCTGTCCTCTACACTTTACATGTACCCCAGTACTACCATCTTATATCTTAATTTCCAAAATCAAAATGGCTCTGCCAACTCTTGTTTTATTTTATTTCAAATCCAGACAATCAGAACTTTCTTGCCCAACATGATACAACGTAACCATGGGCACATTGTTACCATAGCATCCATGGCTGCAAAACAAGGTGTTGCTAGGCTGGTTGATTATACTGCATCTAAATATGCTGTAGCGGGGTTGACTGAAGCACTGAGTGATGAAATAAGAGATATGAAGAAGACCGGAATAAAAACGACCACAGTATGTCCATTTTTTGTGGACACAGGGATGACTAAATATCCAAATCAGAGGTAACTACAATGTATGCCAACATAAATCTCATGTCTTGTTGTGATTGTGCCATGATCCTTGGTAAATTTATTATTATAATAATACTAATAATAATAGTTCATTACACAGCTGTAATCTGCTGTGGATAAAGTAAGGTAAAAATAGTGTAAAATAAAATCAAAGAAATACAACTAAACATAACTAGCAATTAAAAGGTCTAATAGCTACAAATAAATTAAAAACTAATAAAAATACAGTAAATAAATCAAAGTAAATTATTTTTGTTGTTTAGTGGTACTATAAGTGAATATATTGTTCACTGGATTTTAATTTTGCTATTTTCATTGATAATTAAAATCTGGTAACATAAATTTCATGGGAACACTTAAATTACATGTACCATGGAAGTAATTTTGTAATCAGCCAATCCTTGTTGTTTGAATCCAAAAGAATATATTCTCAAAATGAATGTTTATTAAATATCAATTATTTTATCTTTTTCAGGTTTCCGAAATTGAATCCCCTTTTGGAACCTGAGCAGGTTGCTATGGAAGCAGTTGATGGTGTGTTGAGAAACAAAGTAGAGATTATAATTCCATCTAATCTAAAACTTTCTTTGTCTTTAAAGAATCCGTGAGTATAATCTCTATCTTCCACCAGCAAACCGATTATATTTGATTAATTTCATTTTTTCAAGGGTGACAAATTTTGAGTCTAAAAAATTAATATTAAAGCGGGAGGGTCATCACCTGCACACATGCAGGAATTGAGACCCAAGCGATGATAGCAACACACACTAAGGCTCATGGGTAGATGCTTGTTTGTAAACAATGACACGCTAAGCCTATCTGACACATGCGCAGGTGTTGACTCCCCCTCTTTAAATATGATGAGAATATCGCAAAGTATGCATAAAAGCAGTACTAACAGCATTTGTATTGATTCAAGTTCATGTGACCCCATACTGCCTGAGTGCTTACTTTGCTGTATTTTTGTGATAAAATTATTATTTTACATCTGTTCCTGCTTGTAGTAATAATTCAATGAAAGATAGCAGTAAAAAATGTTTTACAACATGCAAACAATGAATGCTTTCAATGAAGAATTCTAATTTCCTTACTAACTATAGTCATCCAGAAACCATACTTAACATGTACATACCCAAGGTCAAAAACTAAATAGACATTCAACTGTATGCTTTAGTGTTAGCCCTCTGTAATTAATTTTGTGAGAATCAGTCAGTGTTTCATGAGTTATGTTGCACCACACATTGTTTTTTTTGTTTTTTTTTTAAAACTTTTTTTTGTGCCAGGCGACAGTTCGGACATTGAATGTCACTGTTGTCTCTCCTGACTTTTTTTTGTATGTGCAAATTGCAAGTGCTAGTGCTGACACATAGTGCATTTTTGCCACAGAAGTCACATTCATATTTGGGACTACATGACAAGGATTGCAACCACTATGCTCCCAGTGATCGGTTTATGCTACCAGTGATTGGTTTATGCTCCCAGTGATCGGTTTATGCTACCAGTGATCAGTTTATGCTCCCAGTGATCGGTTTATGCTCCCAGTGATCAGTTTATGCTCCCAGTGATCGGTTTATGCTTCCAGTGATCAGTTTATGCTCCCAGTGATCAGTTTATGCTCCCAGTGATCAGTTTATGCTTCCCAGTGATCGGTTTATGCTACCAGTGATCAGTTTATGCTCCCAGTGAACTACACATTGTTAGCCTTTGATAAAAAAAATCACATTCAGACAATGGCACTGTATAGCTCTTATCAACTATAGACACTAGCCATGTGTTTGTTTTCAACACAACTGTTAATTACTCAGATGTATTTATTTTTCAGACTGGTCCCCAGAAAAGTTGGCCAGCTTGTAATGGATTTTTTTGATGTTGGAATTGCAGCCCAAGACAGCGAACCAAACAAGGACAAAGATATCTGATTATCTGAACTGATAAACACAATAACTACACAAAATATATCATGTTAGCAAATCTGTGTAGAGGCAGTGTGCAGAATAGGGTGCATTGTAGTCTTTCCACCTTTGATTGCAGGATTATGTACAATTACAAAAGTTATGGCATCGTTCAAAGTTCAGAACGTTGAGTTTTAATTATTTACAGTGTAATATTGAAAATTGGATTGTATCAAACTACCGGTACGCAACACCAATACTTATCAATAAAAGGCTAAATAAGTTAAAAAATTAAATTTGTTTGGTTTTGTAATCGACAATTAACTTGCAGGTGAATTCTTGTAAAATATTCAACACATGGAATTATTAACTTGAATATAGAATTTTTATATTTTTAAGAAATAAAAGAATTTTCAATCATTTTATGTGAATTCTTGTAAGCCTGAATATTCGGCATTAATTTATCAATCCCATGATTTAATGGCTGCATGATATAAAATACAGTGATATGGCAATTCATATGATACAATAAATAAATCGGCTATTTGTATTTTCACCTGATACATTGCTCAATGGAATGCCATGGTACTCGTCAATTATAACTTGTTCCTGTAGCAAGACTTCTCGCTACAAACATGCTATAACACATTTCCATGAGAAGAAATCTCTATATTAAGCCAAACATGGCGTTTATTACATCTCAGATCATTAAAAAAAAATTGTGTTCATCAATATGGAAATGGAATAAAGGGTCAACACATGCATGACTGATGTTTACGGTAGTACCATTATACGATAGTTTCACACACGTAATCAACTTTCCCAATTATTTTTGAACTAATATATTGATGACTTTCTGTGGTTAAAATTATTTCAAAACTAGCAAATTAATATTTGCCTCAACAAAATTTAACAATGTAGGGAAACAAAAACAATAAAAATGCTACTTAGCATTGTAATGTACATATATTGGTTTGATACTTTGTATGTAGATACCATGAGTACAGCTCTGTCAAATTTGTTCATTTTGAGGGGATATCTTAAATTGTCTATTTTGGGTTAAAAAAATGCCATCTTGACTTTGTGGGGTCATTGTGGGAACACTGATGACCATAGCAAATGGTTATAATGCAGAACATTATAAACAACTTTGATTCAAGGAAGACACTCTTATAATCAAAGAAAGCTTAGAAAGAACTCCCATGTGCTGAGAGTATTGGAGACACATTAAATATAATTCGAAATTACTTAGCTGAAAACTAATTATGCAAATCAGAAAATTAATATGACCAGATTTGAGTGTAAAACTAATGAGGTCTGCACAATGTAACAGAAAATCTATGTCTCCAAGTTTAATTGAAATGTGATTAGAACCAAAAAATTATGAATTATTATGCTTATTAGGGAATTAATATGAACAGATTTTTACCCCAAACTAATTAGGTTTGTACATTGTCCTAGAGCATCTTTGTACTAAGTTTCATTGAAATGGAATAATTAGTACCGTGAAAACTCCAAAATTTCGACCCCTCTAAAAATTCGATTGGCTATTTATTTGCCGGGTTTCGGTGTTTTATTTACCTCCAAATTTTCGACTCCACTAAAAA